TTCACTTGGATAATAAAGACAAAGAAGCCAAGGGAAGGAAGAAAGCAACTAGGGAAAGTGTGTTGACATACCCAAGTCTGGGGACACTGCACAACCTCATTGTCCAACACAGTTCAGACAACTAGTCGCTTATGCAAAAAAAAATAATAACTATTAAAATACATTTACCTTCAATGATGCACTTGAACACAAAGTACGAATATACGCCTGCTCACTATACATCTTTGCTAGTTGAGAGTCATCCTTGAATTAGCCAACTGTTCTGCTATTTGTAGTAAATTATGCATACAGTCATACCATTTGGGGATTTACCATCTGAAGAAAAATGACAAAGACACTCACAGAACAGTATAAGTGCTGCGGTGTGTGCTCTGCTTCTTTGTGCTGATTTTAGTGCCACTTAAATGTGAGAGTTTCCCTTTAAACTTGGTATTTATGAAATCATCACATACCATGTAGTATTCTGCAATCTGTGTAGGGGAGTAAAGACGTCCAAGGAGGAAAGAGTCATGATTCTCACTCTATGCCATATGTCTTGGTCTGTATTGAAGTGAGTCACAGAAGACTCAAAACTAACTACGGAATTTGAGGTTTTCATTGGGAACGATTTTTCAGAATCCTAAGATCCTAACACCAACAGAATTATCCACCTGAGACCAACAATTATTCAAACCACACTGTTCAGTTAAAAATTTGAAGGCTCAAAAATACATGTTTCCTCAGGCTTAGATTATTTTGGTGCTGCGTTAAGAGTTAAGAATCCAGTCAGAAAAGCTGTACTTTCCCTTTTTGCTCTTAGTCCAAATAACTTGAAGAATGCTCAGTTTCTCCTTCTTGTGTCCCTAAGCAGAGGCTCAGAGAACAGAAGGGAGCAGGAGACCCTACTAGACCTTGTGGTGCCATTGGTCTCTAAACCAGTTTGCAAACAAACTGTGGATTCACACAGTCAGTCACAGGATACCATAAAAGACCTTCTGGAGATACTCAAGCAAGGCTAGCTTCAATAGACATCAACTGTACTCCTCGACTTCCTCCTGTGCTTTCTTAAAAGGAACTTTCTAGAAAATGTTTTTGCAGTAACACTGATTCCTACACCCTCATACCTGCTCCTATTCTAAATTATAAACACCCTTCTGCTTCCATGAAAGGGAGGTGCCCCGCACTCTCTGGTATCCCACTGGGGAGCATGGAGCTTAGGAAAGCAGGAAATGTGAAGGGATAATTTGAGGTATATTCTAGATGTTGCTACAACAAACACCTTCCATACCGGGTAACTAATCTGAATAGAAATCCAATAGCTTCCAACCCATTGCATCAGAAGCAGTTGAATGCTCTAGGAAGGCATTAAAAGGAACATTTCTGGTGCCGGATGACTGAGGTTTTGATACTCAGTTCTGAAGGACTTCAAAGCTTTATTATCACCAGAACAGACACCCTTCCATTCCCATCTCTTTGTATCAATGGGTTTGCTCAGTATAAGGAAGAGTCATGGTATCTATATTTAAAAAAAAAATTAGGATTGTGGCATAAGAAGATCAGATGAGAAGCCGGGACTAGTGAACCTGCTAAATCCAACCATAAAATGGAACCAACCTGTTTCCTAAAATTAAATTAGCATGTTGGCCTTCAGAAAAACTACCAAACAAATCCAAATATTTAAAAATAGCAACTCTGAAATCCTGCATTAGAGAGATGATTTGGGGGATAGACATGATCAGTGAACTAGAATCTTCTGCTGAGGACTAGGTTGTTAAGGATGGAGGGAAAGACCCTGAAGGCTGCTCAAGCGTGTAATGGATACATCTACTGTGCACAACTGAGTGGATTACAGTGTCACCAGGGAATATACACACTCTCTAAAGACACACAACTGATAGTATTTGGCTCTCTGGAGTTATCAGAGAGTACAATACTTCAAAACTACATTTTCTGCATATTTCCTTGTCATGGAGTATAACTTTTCTCTCCTCTTTGCTCAAAGATGTGTATTTGATGGCTCTTCTCAGTCAAGTGGATCTCTCAGATAGGGAGCCAAATTCCCGTGGAGTCAGTAGGGAGCATGAAGGAAGGGCTATGTGGTTTCATTCTCATCAAAGCCCGAGGATATAAGAGACCTCATCCCCCCATTCCATCCTGAGGAAGAGTGTCCAGCAAACTCATACACAAACAGCAAAGTGGTTGGGACCTAGTAAACTGGAGGAACCTCTAATTGAACCTGTTCACTCCAAAAAAAACCCTTTCATTTCAGATAGTAGAACTGGCACTGGTGTTTCATAGTTGGCATCCGCCAAATGAAGAGGAAGCTGAACCTTGAAGTCTATGTTATCCTTGGAAGATTTTTTAGGACCATTTTTATTTACTCCCAAACTCCATCTGAACAAAACTTGCACGCGGCCCTGTGTACTTTTTATATCCAGTGTTTGATGACGGAATTAAGTAGGTGAGCAGCTCCGAGGGGGAGGGGAGAAGAGCCAGGATAAGGCATCAGCCGCTACGGGAGGAAGTTCAGAGGCACAATATCTGGTTTATTGTAAACCTGCACTTCATTACCATTTTATGTTTAAAATGTAATAATTACAAACTGCCTCAGTAATGATGAAGAAGGCATCTCAGCTTTGATGAAATCTTTTATCTGCTACTCAAACTTTTACTATTTCCAAATGGCAACATAAACAAGAGAAATAATTACCCCTTTTGTTCGAGCAGGAGACTTGTATCAGTTTGAATGCTTTTGTTAGTGGGTGAAGTTTAAGGCATGTAGACGGAATACATTTCTGCACATTGTTTCTGTTTGTTTGTTTCTGTTTATTTCCTTGTTTTGAAATAGAGTCTCACTATGCAGCCCTGGCTACCCTGGAGCTCACTAGGTACAGGAGATTGGTCTTGAAATCGTAGAGATCTATCTAGTTGTGCTTTTCAAGTGACCGGATTTAAAGTTGTAAACCCTGCAACCCGTATCTCTTTATTTTTACGAACTAATCACAACATACTTACACAGGCACGATTAAAAAAAAATGATTGCCACCCTATAGAGTAATATTTGGTCACTGTGTCTGTGATTCATCAGATGTTGATCCGATCTGAATCAAATTTCTATACATTGATAGTCAGGCATATTAGATCATTAAGTGAGATGATGAAGGCCACAAGCTGACTAGAGATACTGGCTTTACGTTTCAGCCCTGGCCCTTCCGAGCTGCAGCACCTTTAGAAACCTCTCGGGTCGGTCTTAACCTTCATTATCTGTGGAAATCTCAGTCATTAGCGCCTCCGAATGTGTAGTCAATGAGATATCTCATGTTTACGACAGAACCCAACCTGCCTCACACGACTACCTAATGTCTGCTCTAACAGGGTTTTCTTTGGCGACCACATGCCCTATCAGCCAGGACCACTCATTCAACCAGCGATTCTTGATCCTTCCCCTTCCCCTGAACAGTCCTAGACACAGAGAACCAAAGCCTGTAAGGCACGGAGCTAATATTTCAAGAAGCTTTGCATCTTAGTGCAGGATGTGTGTACCAACTCCACATCACCCTTGAACAGTACCACAAAGCACACATGTTTATTTGGTCCCCTTTCCCCGTGTGCTCGGCACTAATGGGGCTTCAGAAAATTTTGGCTTCGGTTTCTGAAATCTTAATCTTGGCACAGTTTAATAAGCAACTGCAGGTTTGCCTGTATTTTCAGATAAATGATTAAATGGAATAATCAGATTCTCACTTAGTCAAAAACTTGACAAACATAGGAAAAGACCGTGACTGACACGTTCATTTTCCTGAATTCAGACAAAGTGCCAACAGCATCTGCAGAAAACATATTATTCCCATCCCATGGGGCCCATGGCCAGCAACAATTGCTCAGAAACTCTGCAGCAAAACATTAAAGCACCAAAATCCAATTTAGTACAGTGTCCTTACTTTCCAAAATGTTCTGAAACCACCTTCCAGCAGGACACCTCACAGGATTCTGGACTGTTGAAACATTACTGTTTCTTGTCCTTTCCCTGGGAAAAAGTGAAATCTTCAAGTTTGACTCTAGATCCTGAGAGCAATAATGAATATGGTGTCTCAGACGCCACCAATTCCAAACGATCCTAAATAGGGTGTCCTGTGCCAATCCGCTGCTCCTTAACATGTGTAATAAATGAAATTGAAAAGCATTTTCGATTATTTGCAAAACCGAAGGGAGGAGGTTTTTATCGTATCTGTTTACTAGATACGATAATAATAAAAGCCAATTTAATGCGTGTTGTCCACTTAACTCAAAAGGCAAATGGGTCCTCTCACTTTCACGGAGAATGAAAACCCTGTTTGTGTAACAACCAACAAAGACTGCACTCTGTTATGTATTGAATGTTGCTAATATGCCTATTAAGAGTCGGCATATCCACAGGAGTCTGGGTGCGTGGGTACCTCACTTCTTGATCTCTTCCTTTTTCCATCCATACCACTTTCCTGGGCCCAGGTGGTTCTAAAGAAAGCATTATGGTGCTTCTGCAACTGGGAAGATGCATTCTGACATAAGGGGCCTCTCTCCTACAAGAAGATCTTCCTAGACATAGAAACAACCGTTTCTTTATAGGCAAGCCACAGAGAGAATTTATCTCTGTCTCCAATCTCCCAACAAATGCCTATTTCAGTAACTTCTGCTGTAGCATTTAAACACTTGTGTTCCACACTGAGGGATGTTCGTCCCAGCTGACATCCGTCCCTGCTTATTGTACGCGGTTTTCACATCCATTTTTCCTGTCTTTCCGGGCTGAGAATTTCAAGAGTGGCGAACGTCATGAAGAAGCAAGGATGGGTAGGGAGTAGATAGGACGCCTGGGATTTCTGCCATCCTCCTGCAGCCTAGAATTTGCGTTTGTTTTCCCCTCCCCCAGAGCTTTCCCTCCCTCTCCCTGTCGCCCCAGAGCTCCGCAGCAGGAGGGAGGAGGAGGAGAGCCGCTGGCTGGAGCCGCCACCTGCCACAGCTAGGCAAAGCCAGTTGTCACTTACCCAGCGGGGTGAGAATGGTTCATTTTTGCAGAATCCTTTTCGGACCCCGCTGCAGGTGCAGATACGGCTAGCGGTGGCTTTACGCTGCAGTGGCGGGGACTGGGGCACCTGAGCTGGGCTCCGCCCTTCCTCACCCTGGCTCCCCGCAGTCTCCCGGTTGCTACTTGGTGGCGTCCACAGACTCCCGGTTGCTAAGGGAGGAGGGAAGGCAAGCACCAAGGCCTGGGAGAAACAGCGGTGCTGCTGGAACCAAGCCTAGGCAAGCTGGAAAAGAAGCCAGCTCCCACCCTGCTCGCTGCTGGGCTGTGATACGGGAGGAAGTCTAGCAGGCCGCAGCTTGGTTACTCTAGGGTTACCGTTCCCCAGGCACCTGAACCCTGAAGAAAACACACACACACACACACACACACACACACACACGACCCTTTCTTGCCCAACTTCTTCCTGCTAGGCCCTAACTGGAGGGTGTCTGCTAGCAGGAGAGCCAGGAAAAGCCACAGGCAGGTGCTTTGGTTTCTGCTCCTAAAAACAGACCCAGAACGCAAGTGCATTAAAAATCCAGTTTCCTTCTTCATGGGTCGCAGCTTTTGTTTCTATAGCTGCAAAGAGTCCCCGTCAGCTTTCTTCCTCCCTGGAAGTCCCCATCTTTCTGTCCCAGGTCTCCATGCAGCAAGCCGGTCCGGTCCCCTTGTTGAGAGGGTGGAAAGGAGTTGTAGTGACTAGGGCAGCTGGAGATTGAAACCCTGCAGGAGACTAGTTTAAGGGGAAGGGCTTTGGCAGGAACCACACTCCTCCTTGGGCTGAGATGACTGATTGCTGGTCTTGCTTTATCAGATATCTGCTGAGTCTTGGACTTGAGGGGCGGCTTTTGTAATGGCTGGATACAGGGTGGGTGGTTATTTCAGCTAGTTCTCTCACACTCAGGGATCGGAGAGCCATCGCCTTCTCCGTTTACACTCTTCTTTTCCTCATATTGCAAAAGTCCGCTGAGTGTAAAAGGCGGGTGAGCCTCTTCAGCATCTTCTCTGGCATCATTCCTCAGAGTCGCTGGGACACCTCCTCCACCTACCCCACCTTAAATTCTAGCCAAAGTAGAATCTTCCCCATCCCTCTAGTGAGACTCTAACCCCATTCTGATTACCTGGACAGAGAGAGCATCTGTCTGTCCTTTGGTACTCAGTTTGAACACTTGTTTTCTTTAACATACTCAACTTTGCTCGTGAGCTGTGTATTGATGACTTTCTTGTCTCCCTGACAAAATATGCTACGGAAACAACTGAAGGAGAGAGGAACTGACCTTCCACGTACGGTCTCAGAGGGCTCAGTCTGCCATTGTGAGCAGGTGTAGCCTTGGGCTGAACCAGTGACACCACGATGCTATGATTCTCACTGGTAGACAAACCAGGAAGCAGAGAATAGGGCTTCAGTGGTCCCATCCAAAGATGGAGGAGGGAGTGACCCATTCTCTGTCCACGGAGCTTAACCTCCTAGAGGCTCCACAGTCTCCAGAAACAGCGCCCCCAGCTGGGAACCAGGTGTTCATACACAAGAGTTCAAGAGA